TTTAGTTCAATTCAGACTGATTTGTCAAAAAAAAACTAAATTCTGGCGCCAAAAAAATGATCAATTTTTGCATTTTTTTTTTTTTTTTTTTTTTTGTTATCCAAAACGATTTTTTCTTTTTTCATTTCTGTTTATATATGAGTTGTTAATGTTAAAAACATAAATTATTTTAAAAATACGTTCACAATAACTGATCAATAATAATGATCACCAAAGTTCGATGATCTTTTTTTTTGGCAATATTTATTTGTTTCCCACATAAATGAATGGGAGCGAACCGAAATAAAAACAAAAACAAAGAGAAAAGACAATTTTTTCAAAAACAAAATGATAACAAATTGTCATGAAAGAATATGAAAAGATATTGATTCGATTCGGACATTTTTTTCCCGCGGATATTACACATTGACATTCAAATCTTGATATTATTATGTGATATTGATATTGGGGCTATAATTTTATGCTTATTTATTCTTTTTGAAAAATTAATTTTTCACAAACAAAAAAAACAATCAACAAATCAATTGAATAATAACGATCAATAAGATTTGGTTACGGATCAATAATTCTTCCAACAATCTAAGCAGATATATCAATCATGATCGAAGATAAATGACAGAAAGAATCCTAATTCAAATCGTATAGAAGAAAATTTTCATCTATTTATTTTCTCACATTCCACATATAGCACATTCGGATGTATTTGTAAGTAAGTAAATAGAATGAATAAAGAAGACGAAAAAAACGGAAAGCATCATTTATATATGCTTGTATTTAAAAAAAAATTTGATGGAAATGAGAGCAATTTAATGTTTGTGTGTGAATAAATGGGCTGAGACTGTCAAAATTGTTCAAGGAATTTATTTATTTCCTTGTGTAACAAAAAGCCACACACACACAAACGTTTAAAGCGAAACTTATGAATATTATATAGCTTAGATATTTCAGATGTTGATTGAAACTCCTCCATTTTTTTTTCATTTAATTTCAATGTTAGCAACAAATAAACAAAATGCGAAACAAGATCATCAACATGGCGTCATCATTTTTCATCATCATCATTATTATCATCAATGATGATTATCGACAAAGGCGATGACGCCATAATATTTTTCTAATATTATTGTTGAACAACAATAATAAAAAAAATAAGCAACCACCAATCATGAATGGCTGGCGAGACGGCATCCAATAGTATGTTCATTTATTATTATAAAAAAAGTGTTCAAAAGATATATAGCAAAACATAACAACAACAAGACACAAAAGTGGAGCGAATCATAAAAGAAAGAAAAAATATATGTGAAGAAATCAGAGCAGAGTATATATTATATATAGGCGGGCGAATTCAAAATAGCATGTTAACAAAAAAAAACATTTGAGAAAAGAATAGCATTACTATACAACAACCAAAAGAAAAATTTGCTCTCATTCATTTACTGTTAAATAAAAACAAAATAATGATAATAAACGGACCTATAATATATCACACATCGTTTGAATTCATATTTAGTTTGATGGTCTAATTTTTTTGTTGTTGAAAATTATTAAAAATTGAAAAAAATACTTTTTTCGCTTTTTCAATCAATATATTATTATTATATACCAAATCCAATGATATTTGGAACAAAGGTTCATTCAATAAAGATGAAAAAGGATCGAGCCAACAATTTGATTGAACAAAGATGATCAATAATAAAAAGAAAATCATGTGGCTTATGGCTTTTGTTGTTCATTTTTCATTATATTGCAATGGATAATAATAATGAATAAGGATTAGACTATAGCCGACCAACTAATCATTCTACATCATCATCATCCTAGTAATTACATAAAGATCGTGTATTGATCGATATTATTAATATTAATAATAACAATATTGATAAATAGAAATGAAAACATCACATTACACTTATACAACGAGAATAATAAGATGAAGAAAAT